GCATTGTGTTTTCGTCACCTGATTCGTACCTCCATGAATGCGAGCATGGCCATTTAGGGCTTGTCGGGAACTGAACACCTGACGGGGGGTTGTTGGGTGGAGGGAAGAAAAGAAAAACCAACAAAAAAATAAACCCCAAGAATCACAAGGCAATACTGGAACAGAAACTGCAGAAAGTAGGATGCTGAATGCATATCACAACAGCTGTACACATCTAATGTGCACGATCCCACTAAAGAATAAAACAAAGCAGTGAGCTATCCTATTATTTCAGTTGTGTAACGTAATTGGAGCTGTTACCATATAGTAATTCTAACTGATGCACCATCTCAGGATTCAATTTTCTGTACAGATCCAACTGCTTATATTTGGTGAGGCGGGAATTAAAAGTCAAGAATTAAAAGCAGTCAAAATATTTGTAATATCTTTGTAATACAGAGAAATTCAGGAGATATCACTGCCCAGGAGTAGTCTAAATCCACAATCTCAAAAATCACAATTCACTAGTTTACACGCACCACCCCTCCTCCCTCCTTAAATGTACCAAACAGACTCACAGCGCCACAGTTTGGCATTTTACAGATGAAGGAGGACGAAGAAAGTGGAAGACCCTGAAGAGCAGGCAGATCTATGGGTCCAACAAGAGGGATAGCGGGTGGGTCAGGAGTCTTTTGCATTTCCCTTTCTTCCTTTCTGTCTTCTTCAATCTCCTCATCTTCCTCTAACACTTCCTCTTCTCCACTTGTCTGAAAAAAGACAGTGCACTCAACAAATACTAGAAATATGGTCAAAGACAGCACTGGATAGTACGACATATACAGTTCTGAACAGCAGGCTTTTCAATCAAGTCTGCTTCCCAGTTTCAGTATTTCCTCCCATCCTGAATGAACTTCTGGTCTTGCTGGAACTACCACCACTTAACGGATAAGCTATAGCACATGAAGCTTATCTGCAGTGCTCAAAACACTCTCCATCTATATTATGGAGCTGTAGCTCCAAAGACCTACAGATGCAGTACTCTCCTGCCATTAGAAAGGCAATGTACACTGCACTTGTAGCCAAGTTACTTAATAAACAAACAAAAAAAAATCTAACTCACAAACCAACACATCTCAAGTGGTATTTGTACTAGAATGTTAGAGCAGCTTTTAGGAGCAGACATGGGCACAGGCATAATTTAAAGAGGTTTACCTGCTGGACTACAGTTAGATAATGGACTTTTCTCTTGTTACAGTCCAGGAACACAGATCTTGGTGCAGCTGAGGTCACAAAATGTTTATACAGAATGTAATTTAGCATTATGGAAAAATTTTGCTTGGAAGATACCTATGTCACCTACTTCAACCTTCTCCTCAACACAGTACAAACAAAAATTATCAAGTGTTAAACTTTCTCATATTCTTTTAGACTTACCAGGCATTCATCTCTTTTTTTCTCTAAACGCGTTCTGTGTTTCCGTCCCAAACGCAAGATTTTCTTCCAGGTATAGTAGTATTCCACACATTGTGCAACTGTCTTAGACTTAACCTGTAGTTGAATAATACAGAAATAGTCCAATCTCAATTTTTTTCCTTTCATTTAACACTATTTGAATATATTCCAAGAGGCTGGCTTTATTACTCAAACATTCAAATGGAGCAAAAAAAAAAAAAAAAAGGCAGTTTGACTACAACAGGAATGCTCTTGTAGAATAGGTTTTTTTCAGAGTTTTTTTCCAGTCAAATTTGTGTTGACTTTTTCAGCTTCAGCACATTTCTCTGGGATTCTCTAGACTCCAGCCAGAAAATGACTCAGAATATACTTTTGCAGCTCAAGTGTACAATACAACTGAGAAATCTAGGAATTAAGATTTGATTTGCATAAACCCACATGTTTTTCAACATCGGAGCTAAGAAGTAGGTATTGTGCCCTGAGATGTATACACCTTGCCTTTTCTGCTTTGTGGCAGAACATGAAAATTAAGCCCAAACATGTTCTCTCTTTATTAACAGGTTTCAACCCTTTCTGGCACCAGGCTCCATGCCAGGGACTCGGGTACCTTGTAACAAACTGCCAGAGAACACCAAGATGATAATGGAGAACCATAATTATCCCACACGTAGAATGCCATGATTTGGACTTCAAGTGTGGAAACTTTTACATGTAATAACAAAAGGAACAGTTTTTATTTATTTGTAACTGTTTTTTACTGGTACTTATTGCGTAGGTACGTCCAGTGAATAAACCACTCTTGTAACCACTGCTGGCTCTACGCCTGCAATAAGCTGGTCTGACATTGGAGGGAAAACAAAGAGGAACAGAACACAGCAAAAGGAAAAAAAAAAACCAACAATTGACAGAACAGAAATAACCTTACCATTTTCTGTACATATATGAAATCTTTGCTGTAGGTGGACAATGCCTCTTTGAACAGCCTCCTTTCTTGATGCGTCCATTTGTCAGAACCTTAAAAAAAAAGTTAATTCATTATAAATGATAAAAACTCACCACCTTTATGTTGATGTAGCATTTGAAACAAAAACTGGGAAGCCTCAAGCACATGCTACTGATAGCTGCTACCCAAATACAAGTATGGGTGTACTGACTCAGACCTCCAGCCCATCTAACCAGTATTCGGTCTCCAGCAGTAATCACAGATGGTTGCCTAGGAAACAGTAAGATCAGGGCAAGCAAACACAATGCCTCTCCCTAATTTTTCTTAACCTCTGACCACTTTTGGTGCAGGGGATTTCCTGAGTCTGGTGCAATGTGCTTATTTAGTAACTACCCTTGTAAGTGCTGAGCCACTCTTCCTTTCAACTGATTAAAATTCTTGCAATCAAAACATCCTTTGCTGAAGAGTTTCACAAATATGTAGACCATCTGCATGAAGACCCATCTCCTTTTTCTTTGTTTCTTGGTTCCCAGTAGCTTCACTGGATGACCCTTTGTTCTTCAGCAGGAGGATAAAATGAACCCAAACTCGACCATCATCTCCATGCTATTCAAGATTCCATGCCCTTTCTGTCACTCCCAAACCTTTGATCATTACTGGTGTCCCTCTTTGAACCTTTCCAGTACTAAAACATTCCTTATAGAGATGACAGTACCAGAAAGGCACACAAAAGCCTATATATGAGCAACCCTCCGACTTTCACAGTGGCACCATGTTCTCTATTCTCTTAATGTTTGACCTTAGCTTTTGTAAAATACAGAGCTGATGCTTTCTTAGAACTAGCATTATAATCCCAAACTGTCGTTCTAACTTGAGAAGTATCACCACAGAACTCATAATTTCCTGTGTAAAGCTTGTATTGTTTATTCCCATATATGCCACTTTACATTTGACTACACAGAAGTTCATCTATCATTTTGTTCTCCAGACAACTCTTACAAGATCCTTTTGCAGCTCTTCACTTGCATAGCTTGAGGTAAGACACTTAAAACCTCTGTGACAGGGGTCACAAGTATGTAGAGATTGTAGCAATGTGCAATATGCAAAAAGTATTTTCTGATCATTTAATGGAAGCTGTATATAAAATTTCTAAATAATGTTATTCTGTGTTTGCTCTACCAGCCTAACTGCCCATGAAAATGTGAAATCAACATTTAAATTGAAATGAATTTATGCTTCCTCAGTATTAAACAGAAGGAACACAGGATTGCTCTGCTGCATCAAAGCAGTGTTCTGTTTGTTAAGAGTGGGCAGCATTACATATATTAAAGGAAGGATATGCAAGAAGCCATAATGTGGACGCCTCTGAAATGACTTACACTATGAGAAGATTCTACTTTAGCCTGAGAGTTTCTAAACATCTATAACTTTTATGAAAAGAAATCCCTAATATTTCTGTCAACGTTACCCTTCTCCATAGAAATGCTTGCCTCTGCACTGATTTCCATTAACTTGGACTTGACACCACACATGGTATTGAACTCTACACGTTACTTATGTCTATAAAAAATATATAGATTTTATTAACTACAAATGTTTTGCTTTTCAGCATCAGCTCCCAAGCTTACAAGTTCAGAGCAGGTATCTCACTGCTCCTTTATATGCTGAAAACTACAAAATTAACTTTTCTGCAGCCTGTTTTATGTAGGCTTTTCCAGCACTGGATGTAAGCATGCATTAGTTATTTCCACAGAGATTTACACTTAAAGCTCTCTTAAGCATCAGAGAAAGGCACTGGCTTCAAGCCACAAGTTTAACTTATTCTATTATCATCCGAAGATCTTTCTGCTGACACACTGCCTTTCCATCTTTCCCACCCTGAACCAGTGTCATTCCCTTCTTATGCAACTTGTCAGTCATTTGCATTTACCCTCACTTTGGACAGGGGTAAATGCACTGATTAAGTCCAGGGGGCTACTCTATTATGCCAAAACATAATTTTAAAAAGGATAACAACACCAAAGGAGGATTTTTTTTCTAGTCATGCTGCTCTCCTGTCTCTACCCCACCCTCCTAAAAAAACAACACAATAAAAATAATAACACAGAATCATTTCCATGAACTAATTTTATTGGACACCTATGGAGGATTTGGGCCTTACAGACTTTCCCCAATAGCTGTGGTATTAGCAGAGACTCTTATAAGATTATGCGGGTTAATTGGAAGTAACCTAATTAATAGAATAAATCCTGTGTAGGAAAAGAAACAGAAGAAAAGCTGTTTTTAACTCTGGTTGCTGGGAAACCACTTTTGCTCTTGTTAGCTTGAGGGAGATATAGAGAACATGCATAGAGAGAGCTCTGCAATGCAGCAAAAAAGAATTTTGGGCTTCGGAATACAGATAAAATTTTAAAGCTGATCTTTATGTTTAGACATTTATTCTGTACTTTCTTTTACCTGCCATATTGTTTCTGCACTGATTAATCGGTAATAAATATCTTCTACTAATCTGTGCACTTTGGACCCAACTTGTGGGTTTCAAGGGGGCTACACATACACATACACCTAGCCCACTGACAGTGGGCTCAAATCCACTACATCCAGCATACACTGGGTCTGATCCACACCCTACTGCAATACCTACAAAAAGCTTTCAGACTGCTTGAAGTGCCTTATTTCAGAGACCATCTCTCCTGCAGTTCTCACTGCAGAACTTCAGACCTGAGAAATTCCACTGCTCAGATGAGAACAATGCAAGTGTTTGCAGCAGTGATTAGATACACGTTCCCTCTGTCTTCCCTAAAACACCATCCTGACAGATGGCCAAGTGTTAGGACAGAGAGATTAGGGTGTTCGTCCAAGCAGCCCTGGGTCAGCATAACCAGCTCTCTAGGCACACAACAGAAAATCCTCAAGTTTTACAGCTTGCTTCCCTCACAAGCCAACAGGTTTCCAAGGTGAGCTATTTGTTTGTACCCTCAATTTGAGGGCAATGCTAAGGATGAGTTCGGATATTTATTGTTTGTGGTATCAGTAATTCTCATGAGTTAGTGCCATGCTCTGTTTCAGTATATTCCAACTTTAAATGTGGGAGGCCCAAGAGCTGTGATTTCCACAAGTCAACCCAAACAAATACCACTTGAAGTTATATTAAAGCTATTCATGCACTAGATTGTCAGAAATTCCCAAATGCCTCGAGTGGCTGATTACAAACCCCAAATAAACTGTTATTCAAGAGGTGCTGCATGGTGCTTGAGTGATGCTGTCATATAATATAAGTTGCAATCACACGCAAGAGCATTAGAAAGTAATGCTTTGATTTGTTATTTTATGGTTCTTAAATCCAGATTGGTGACATTTTGTTTCATGCTGTGGTAAGTACAATCAAACTTTCTTTCCTGCTTAAGAAATGGTGATATGCTGGTGTCCACAGGTCTCAGTGCTAGTTAACAAGCATTAGCGTCATCTTACGTTAAAGATTAAAAAAACAGTCTCTCCTAGCTCCTCCCTGAATCCCAGTAAAACACTTTCTGAAACTACTGTGAAGTTGTTTCAGTAAAGACTGTTGGTCCTCTGCCACACAGGCAGAAATTTCTTATCTGCTTTGCTAATTAGATTGTTCACTGAAGAGGAGGTTACTGGGATATTTCCTCATCTTCCTGCTCTCATGCCTTGAACTGTCTCACACGTATGATTTAACATCATCTCTTCAGACAAGAGACCCTGGTCAAAGTTCCTGCCTGATGTTCTCCTCCATCCACCCACATGCCCACCCTTTTGACTGCAACAGAGTTGTTATCAAAGGCACTGGGCATCTCCCTCAGACAAAACTCTAAACCTGATGTTCGCATTTATTCGTTATCATTATGAGCTGCCATCAAATGTGTTTCTGTTCTTGTTCTCAGGCCAAGGGGTTAAGGATTTGCTTTACAAAAGATCTCCTGTTACTTGTGAGCCTTTCCAGTGGGCTGCTACAGCCAGGAAGTAGCTTGCTTCTATGATTATGTCGCACAATGACTGTAACTGGAAATCACTACATGAGCTTGGACACTGTGATTGACTGACCACCAGAAGACAAACCAGAAGGTTTGTTTCCCATTGAGCCTAAACTGGAGATGAAGTCTTAACTGTCTTACGTAAAACCCTATTCTGTGTCTAAGCAGTTGTTAGCCACTACAAAGCATTAAGGACTAAAAGAGAGGGCTACAGAGGAGAGACATTTGCCATCTATGTTCAGGTGACATGACTTAAGCCCCATGGCTTAACATCACATTGTGTATTTCACAGAGGGCACTTCTGCTTCATCATCCCAATATACTTCTTGCTACGTCTGTGAAAGAGGTCACCAACCCAGACTTATTTTGATTAGACCCACACAAAGAGAGGCTCTGTAAGCAGCACTTAGTAGTAGGAGTTACACCACTGCCTCTTCGGAAGGATGCTCAAGATCATCTTATTCATTGATTGTGCACCATCACCTCAGAGAAGGCAGGCAGATGATGGAAGATGTTTATATACCAGACAATTAAGACCTTACTGATAGTAAATTATAAATTACAAATAGCAGCAGTTTTAAAAGGAGATCACATTTCAGTTTAAGAGAAAAAGAACCACTTGAGGCAGTTTTAAATCCATAGAATTTTACACAGCAACACGGATGCAAATTTTCCGTATATTTTCAGTCATGTAAAAAACTGCTGAACTTGTGACAAAAGGCTCTGGAAATACCCCTCGACACTGTCCACATCACCTCTCCATTAGATGCTGCCATCCCTGCAGCAGACAGCAGAGAGTGCAGTGTGATCCCATGCTCCAGCCTGGCATGCCAGGCTTGGACTCTGTATACCAGCAGACAGAGAGATCACAAGGAAACCTACCGGCGTAGTGGTAATTTGCCAAAGGATGACACTTCAATCTCACTGGCTTTCGCAACAGCAGCTTTTCAAGAGCAACCTAAATGAAAAAGCAGGGAAAAACAGAATTAGCAAATGCAATCGGCTGCTGCATAAAACTGCATTTAGAAGACTATTTCGTACAAGGATACGAATTAATTTTCTCTCTTTTCTCTTTTCTGTCATACAAAATCACATCAAATTACTCACAGCCCATTAACACTGTACCTCACAAAAGAGCACCTAATGTGCACCTGCCTTGCCTTAATTAGCAGAAAACTGGCTATTACTTAGCAACTTCCAGCTCTTCCCTGCCTTCTGCTTGCCACATACAAATAGTTCATTGTGTTTGACTTGATAGTGTTAATTGACACTAATATTTAATGGTTGGTTCGACAGCATTAATATAGCATGAAGTCTTTTAGAATACCTGTTTAGGTCAACATCTGTCGGGAATGACAGCAAGTATAGCTAATCCTCCTTCAGAGCAGAGAAATAGATGATTTGTGGATCCCTAAAATTTTTCCCCTGACAATTCAGACTCCCTGTAAAGCAAATTCCACATCCTGACAGTAAGTTCAGTCACCTGACTCAGACCGCTCAGATACAGCTAACAGAGCCTAAGGAAATTGGGACACAAGCTAAAACCCACTGTATTGGACAATACTGTGAGATCATTCCAGCCCTGTGTTCTGTTGCATTTTGTTTTAAATTGGTTTTCCAGGAACTGGTGCAAGGGCCTTGTCTTTCTCAACGTTGGGGAAAATGGATGTTTTGCCCTAGTTAATAACATTCCCATCACTAAACTAATGCAAATATTTGAAATGCATTATTTATATAAGAACTGTGTGCAATTACCTCACAGTTCTGAACAAATAAGTAGATGTGACTGCTGCTGCAAAAAAAGGTTTTTTTAAGGGCTAGAGGAGGACTAAGCTCTCTGTGACCAAGTATAAAGCCTGTGAAATATCAGGGCTGGAGCAAGCACTGGGAGACATTCAAAGCTCCAAGGCTATAAACTAAGTAATCTTATCTATATGAAATATACAGTAAACCTTCAGAGAGGCACTGCTTTGAAATTTAAATTTATTAGAGAATAAAGTGAAAAGTCATTCCCCAAAAATGTTACAGGATGTTTAAAGCATCACTGCAAATCAATCAGAAATCTTTTTTATACAACCATATCTAAATCCATTTAATAAAGCATGCTAATTTATCTGCAGAAGAGGATCATATCTCCCCTTTCAGCTTCTTATCTTACCATAATATCTCCTTTCGCTTCAAAGAGAGAGTGCAAAGCGTATTCTGAGTTAGTTCCTCCACCAGGTAACACACTGGAACAGCTCATATTTAAAAGGTCTTCCACTGTCAGAAATAAGTCAACATTTTACTGCTGATACAGTAGCCTGTCAGTCAAACATCCAGAGCCAAAGATTCTGTAATGCTACTCAAAGACCACATAGTTCAGGGCAGCAGCTTCTTCCATACTCTCTCTCCTGAGCATCTCATCTCCTTTTTTTAGGATAACTCACTGAGGAGAGGATGTGCAGAGCGCATCCTTGGGACAGGACAAGCTACTACAGAGCCAGAGATCTACCTGTGAGGCAGTGACTTGCACATGCCAGTGATGTTGTTGTGCCAAGAAGGCCCAGCCAGGGTAGAGAAACAGAAATGAACCGTGCTGGAAGCAGGAAAGAACTCTGTTCAGGACAGGTAGAATCCACCAACCCTGTCACATTTCCTCTCAGCTGTGGTCACAGGACAGGTCCAGGGGCCATCAGCTGCCTCTGATCTGTGACCTCTGCCCTTACAAGACAGTTCAGTACCCAACTTCCCAGAACAATCCTTCCCCCTTGGCTGCCAAAAAGCAGTTCATTCAGACTTCACTTTAAATGCCATTATATAATGTTATTACTCTGAATCTGTAACATGTAGTTCTGGTCTTCCTCTGCATTCTCAGCAATTAATATTCTCCTGAACGTTTTGTACAGTACGCACATGAGAAATCAATGTGTATTTCTTCAACAGGCACAGGCTGACATAGGAACTTCTAAAACAGCAAATCATCGTACCTCTTTGTTGGAAGACTTTGTTCTCCAGTTCTGGCCATGGTTTCCAAACCAAAGTAGCCTTGTGCACGTCTTTCTCCATTAGCAATCTGTCCTGCAGCTCAGGAATATCAGCCTGGAACCTGGACCCGATATTGATTCGCCTGTAAGGATGAATAAATACGTAAGTATTCAACTACACAAGGTGCAGAAAAAACAGAATTCACGTTAGTGTTCACTTTATTTCCAACAAAACTTTTATTGCACTCAAGTGGCAGGAAATTGTGTCAGATTGCTTTACGCAATGCTCTAATCCCAGTGGGGTAAGTATTTTGAATACTAGAGAGAACTGATCTCTTGGGGGAAAACAAAAATTTCAATATGCAATTTAAACTATACTGAGACATCACACCTTAGGGACAACCCAAGCTATCTTATATGCATGACTAGCAAAGAGGCTAGATGTCAGAAGCAGCAACTTTCTGTTCCATAGAGAATGGTACTCTTCAGCAGAGAGCAGAAAGAGCCATTACTGCTGAGGGACAATCCTGTTTGCATTTGCCTGGGGAACCTACCAGGTAACACCTTTCTAAAGCTCTACCGCAGATATAAAAATATATGTTAAAAACCTAAAGTACTGGATCAGCACATTTTCCTCACAGCCCTCTTCCCAGCCATCACTGTTGTTTCACTTTCAGTGGCTGCCACCAAGCCTCTCCAAGCATTTTTGAGCCATGACACCTAAATCTCCTACAGTCGCTTTGCTCCAAACGTCCTCAGCCACCATCCACAGAAAACTTCAATGAGTCCAGCTCAACATGATTTCAGGCAGTTGAATGCTACCTTGCCCAGTTCAAAACACTTCAGGCCACATGCTCTAGGCTGGAGATAGTCTATAAAAGCAGTGACAAAAAAAATTGTTTTTCTTACGGTTCAACAGTCTGTTCTCCAGGCCCAGGCGTCACTGGAATGACACTTCCATCAATACTATCTGAAACAGAGATTGGAGTTTGAGTATTGCTGTGTTGCTGTTGGTGCACCACCTCTAGGGCTGCACTGACATCTCCCTATTAACATCAACATTACTCCAGTCTACGATGCAAAAACGACCCTTTATTGATATTTAGACAGAAACAGTCTAAATTGTTACAGGTAACAGAAATGTCCAAACTCGCAGAGGTTTCTACTGCTCTGATCATGGGTGATTAGACACCTTTTCTTGTGAAGCACTGAATAAATACTTAAAGTGAACCCCCTGTCTCAAACCAAATCTTCTTCCTCCACTTCAGAATGCCCAGATGCAATGAGAGGCATGGTGGTCCTTTCTCGAGGCAGACCACATGGAAAGATCATAGCCTTACTCGCTGATTAGGCTCCTCTATTCATTTTATGCCTCAACACTGCCTCTGCAAAATCCAAGGCAAAACTGGACTTTTCCTGTGATTTAGCAGAAGTGGCCATGCATGTGAGCACACATAAAAATCATCGATGTGATAACACAGGGAGACAGGACAGTGGCATTTCCTTTGTACTGCTGCTCTGTAAAAGTAATACTTACTAGACCGACACAGGAGCACCCGTGGAGTAGGTGTCAGGGGAGTAAGTGGCAGCTGAGTATGTGAGGTGCTATGAGATGAAGTGATAACACTGCTGAAGAGACCAGACCCTTGCCGAACTGGACTAAGCATCGGTGGCGGAGTGTAGGGGGGGAGCTCATGTGTCCGGTCTAGCAGATGATCTCCCAGAACACGGGGAGAGCGAAGCTGACTCTGGTACAGAGTGGCACCGGAGTGGGACATGCTGAGGTTGAAAGAAGGAGGAGGTATGAAGAGAGGTTCCGGTCTGTGCCGATACTTCTTCTTATCCTGCAATGGTTTGAAGTTTTCTTCCAATTTTACAGCACTTGGATGAGGTTTTTTGCTAGTTTCCTAAATGAAAACATGTAAAACCTTAGTATTCAGGCATGCTTAAACGTAGTTTGCACACAATCTCCTACAGGTTTGGGCAATGGCCACAGAAAAGCTGTAACCAGCATGCAGTTATTCAGGTACCACCATAATAACCCTGGCCAATACAGTATCTGGTGCTACACAGAAACCTCAGGGGAGTGAGAAAAACCAGGATAAATTAACCTCCACCTCTGTCAGCCAGCCCTCTGGGTCAAGGCAGGGCTGAGCCACAGGGACAGACATAGAAAGGCTGCTGCCAGCTTTTGAAAGTGCTGGGAACGGCTCTCCCAGACCACGAGTCACCCCCGCCCTTCTTCAACTCTACCCAGGCACCCTGGGCACTTCTATTTGCACTGAGCACACACACAGGCTGTTGGGAGATACTTCATGTGAGTCACTGTTTATTAGAAACTTTATATGGGAGCTTTTTCAATGCATGCATTTAGTTTGACCAGGAAGGACACATGAGCTCAGTGAAATTACTGCAGTACTCAGCAGCAGAAAAGGAAGAAAAATGTAATAAATTCAAATTCTTTGCCTCTTATCACTACATTCCCATCGGCTTCATTACAGTCCAGCTGCAACAAATCTTGAACTTAACTCTCTCCTTTTTCCTTGGAGAAAAAAAGGGTAGTAGCGGACCATTTGGGAAACTCACACTGTAACATGTGCGGACCTATAGAATTTGAATGTTAAAAATCATTTAATAACATTTAGAGTACAGAGAAGCAGAAGGCACAGAATCTGTGCGAACCTGGAATCTGGATTTCTGTGGGGTGGGGATGAGGTGGGAAGAAAGAGGTTCTCAGTTTGTGCTTTAAGAACATGGTATATGAACACAGAATTAAATGTACTGCTTTTAGGTGTTCAGATTGTAAGTCATCTTTAGGATAAATCTGGGAAGTAGAATAAAATTTTTGACTGATGGGGTTACTCCATAATGTCTGCATCATCTGGTAAATTTACTACTACATGAAGCAAATTACTGCAGTGTATGTTTAAACAACATACATCTTTACACCATGGGTGGTTCTTGTGAATCACATTCACCCAATAAAAATCATGTTAAACAAGCATTACCACTGTCACCCTTTATCCCTAATGTTAATAAGTTCCAGCTTGAGGAAATGTTTTTGATTACAGAGGTCCTGTCCTCTCTGTTAGATCATGGCTGTATCCTCTCCAACAGCTGTTGACATTTTTTTCTCTGTGAAAAAAAATTAACTTTTGGAAGAGTTTTGCTTTTGCATGGAAGAAAATGCAGCCTTACAGAGGATTTTTTTGATAATGGACAGTGAAAATTACCTGAAAGGATAGATATAGTCCATCAGGATGGTGAACATTTAGTGTTCAAAAAGGAGAAAGGAGAAAAAATCCAAACAACCCAAAACCTAATAAAAATACCCAGAGGGCCAGATCTAAGTCTTTGATTAAGGGCTCATTTGGTACTCCTTTCTCACTAGTGTAAAGCAAACCAGCCAACCAAGACAACACCTTAGAAGTCCTAAATACCTCCACCACCTCCACGCCTTCACCTACAGTATACCTTAACTGCAGTGGGGCTATGCCAACTACTGCTTTCAAAAAAGATCACACTGAATAGTAAAGGAGATAGTGGCGTCCATGGGCTCTTGATTAAGAATCACCCCGATACTTTTCTGAAGCTTGAGGAACTGACTCCTATTATCCAAGACAGAATGCATCCTTGTGGGCCCTGCTGCCGCACCTTGACAGATCCACTCTGGGTAGACCCCTGATGGACCTCCTTTAACCGCTGGCTTCAGCTCATCATCCTATTGCCTTGCTGAATATTTAGTTACTTTCTGCTGTTTGATTCCATCAGCTTTGTGGGAGCTTTTCTGGACAGCTCAAAGCACGGTATAAATAAATGCAACACAGCTTCAGTTCTTTGGTATTAGGAAAAAAACCCTCTCCAATGGCACAAAATCTTTTTAAAGAAGAAGAGGGAAACTGTAGATCTTTTGATCATTCAATGTTTCCAATGCTACTGCTTATATAAAAGATAGGGTCCAGAGAGGAAACTGCATGCATTTCGTTTGCTTGGGCAATAACAAAGACCACAAGCATCATTTGGAGGGAACGAATGCGCATTTAGCCAAACACTGGCAGATTTAATCAGTCACTTTACATACACTGCAGAAATACACAAGCCCAAGCCACCTACTCTGATGTCTCTAGAGAAGATCTCCCACTCAGAGCTCAAGGATTCAGAAAAGACTGTCCCTATTCTTTAGAGGAACTAGAAATAGAAATGAAAAATTGTACTGCTGAGTTACTAAGTATTGTGAAATGCTGGCTTTCCCAGTAAAGTGGAAGTTTGTGTGTAAAACCTCTGCTTGAAAGGACAAGAGAAAATATTTCATATACATTTAAAATTAGTGTGAATGTCTGAGTGAAGGGTTGGGGGGGTGATAAATACATGGAATATTTTAAGGAGTCACCTATGATGGTATATGCTGTCCCCTTGTTTTGCCATCAGCCTCTCATGGAGCAGGAAAAGAAAAAAAATCACAAGAGTATTTCTCTGCACTGTACAGATAATACCATACAGTGCTTATACTCCCCAGTAATCCCTTATCATGTCTGCCAACATGGATTTGAAGGAACAAGCAGAATCTGTTCCTACACTGGAATATGAAATAAATACTGCTTGCTCCAGGACTCTTTCAGGAAAACAATAAAGAGCATTTTCACATCTCATTCAAGTAATCATCAATTCCTTGTGCTGCCTGACAATTTCAGTTTTACGAGCGAAATGAAAGCACTAAGCATAGCTATTTTTTCTGTATCAGAACTCTCAGTGATTAACCCTTCAAGCTGATGCATGCAGAGGGAAAGGGAAAAATTACTTCACTGCAAAACTCCAAGTCGACAAGCTTCATATTGGCTTGGAGCACCCACTCTAAGCACTGCACTATCTTCAGCTGAAATGAGCAGCACATATATCTGACTTTAAAGAACAGGAAGAAATAAAACTGCCGAATTTAAGCAATAACATAACAATGAAGCAGCCTGAAAAGGAAAAAAACAAAACCAGTAAAAAGATAGTAAATCCCTTTGTTCTAGTGGGATAATATTACATTCTGATTTCAAATTACTTATTTTCAACTGAGATCTTGATTCCTCAGCAAAGGGAAAATAAGTATTATTATTGTTTATTAGGAATCATAAAGAGTCCAGAAAATATTTTAAAACACAGATGTTTTAGAAAATAGCGGCACTATAAGCAAAGGGATTTAACAAGCACAGGACAGTTAGTGGCAAGAAACACAGCACTCACAGAGGATGAGCAGGGGTTGGCCACTTTTGGACTGCATGGTGGAGAGTAAGTCATCTTCACGAGAACGGGCATCTCGTCATCTGACACAGAGTTGGCAGGCTTGTCTGTGACTGTGGCAGCGCTGGCAGAGGGCTGCGTGCTGGGCTCAGGTGACAGAAGCTTTACAGGGACAGACACTGGCATGACGATGGGCGCGAGGCTATCCACCTCTTTAGGCAGCGGCTGCTGTGGTGGTTTCTCTCCTTCATCCTGTACAGACAATTAAAGGCTTTCAGCCCGAGTGAGGGAGTGCTGCTTCTGGATCGATACACTACACAATGTATGCACCGTGGCTGGAAAGAAGTGGCCAGGGTTACAAAACACACACCAGCATTCCTTCCTGGGACTCTTTATTTGCCTTCAATGATGTTGGGCAGATTACTTATGATTCCTGCATAGGATTCAGCCTTGGTGACAAATAATCACCTGAAACACCCTTACAAGATAACTTGCAGGACGGCAGATAAACACATCTCTTTATATCACTACAAACACAGAATTCTCCACTACTCACCTAAAAACAAAGACACAAACTGTAACTTCGGTAGCTTTTTACCTTCCTGTGGTGTTCCTTCTTAGGACAGAATTTCTAAAATATCGGGATAGAGAACGACCAACTGACTGTTATGAAGAACAACTCAAACACGTTTTTGGTTTGGCATTTTTTGATACCTATAGAACTAAAACACTTTGGAAGAAAACTGTCAAAGATTCAAAAATTCTGCTCCTTCAGTTAAAGCCTGGGAAGGCTTCCAACAAATATCCCTTAGTCATCCAAGTAGTTCAAATAAAAATAAGGAAGACTTGATGTTCCTGGTATTTCTAATATAATAAACAAACATGCAGGGAAAAAAAATTAGACACTCCTGACATGACTTTGTAGGGTGTTTCTGTAATGTGCAGAGAAAAGAGAAGGACAAACACTGATTTATCCTCCCCACTGCCTCTGACTTTAAAACAAGACTTCTGGCCTATAACCTAACAGAATTATGTGCATTTCTACTTACACAGGGTATGACATAACAAAACAGCGCTGAGAAGAACAAGTTTTGACAGCAAAGCAAAGCACGGCAAAGCAAGCAAACACAAAAGGAGAGTGCCAAATACTGAAGTAAAATGGACTGATACCTGTTTGAAGTTAGGAGATGCTCTTACTCCTCCGTGTGACCTCATGTGACCATTTAGAGCAGGCAAACTCTTAAACTCCTTCAAGCATATTGAACACATTAGCTTGTTCTTCGCATCAGCTCTCTCAGGAAGTGTTTCTCTGTTCTGGCCACTATATTTGTTTTCATTTTTTTAAGCATGGAGCAGAAGAAAAAACATTAATTTGGTATGTTTCCTTTGTTGCAGAGGAAGCTTTTTTAGTCAAGGAACTAAATGAAATTTTACAGCTAGATGGTTATGAAGTCATAGTTAAGCATGTGGTGACTGCTGTGGAATACATGGCCAATAACCTAGATGAGCTGCTCCCAAGATGGGGAGAAGGGAAGTTTTGAGTAGGATGTGCTCATCAAAATGTGGGTCTCAATATAGAAGAGTCTGAGAACCCATGAGATCCATCATGACAGGCCTACGTTTTCCCCCCTCATGACACCAATTAACAAGTACTTGGACACAATGCCTCTAACTTATGGTAGACAACCATGTTCATTGTCAACCTCAACCTTCAGAGGTGAGACCTTAAGAAAAAATAGAAGATCTCTGCTGCCAAAGTTACAAATCCAAACCACACACCATTCCTTCACTTATAAATGCAACAGAGGGCAAACTGCTCCCCTGCTTTTGGGGTTTTTTTAGTTTCCTTCCCATACCCCCCTTTTTTTTTTATTTATTTGATTTTATTGTGGAAGGGGGATGCTGGAAATCACACAAACTTAAAATCACAAAACGCAAAACTAAGGATGTTTCTAGGAGAGCAACAATTATTACCTACCCAGACTGCATTCTTTTCCCTCTAAACTGCAGAACTTTGCATTTCTCATATTTAAATTAAAAAGACCAAAAAAAAATTTTAAAAATACCTTTGTTCTGGGGACAGTTGCTGCAGTCTGCCTTCTGACAGTTGCACCTGCTATCAAAGGAGGAGAAAGGAAAATAAGGGGAAAAGGAGAAAATAATTTTTCAGGAAATATTAATGCATAAATGAAGATCCTTACAGCACTAAGTTTGCATTTTGTGTATGATTTTACTGATATTAAAAGCCTCTGAGAGCCTGACATCAAATCAGTGCCCCTGTGAGCATAGCTAGTGTAAGTCTTCTTCCATTCACCTATTGTTGAAGCCTTTGTTCTGACCCAGAAGCACTACTTTTGGAAACAGGGAGTTTACTAACTGCTCCTGAACAACTGAGCCTGCAGGTGTTGAAAAAATCAGCAAGAACGCTTTGTTGTCACTGGGTCCCTCCTCCCCAGAAACCAAGGCAGACCTTCCCAAAGCCTCTCAGAAGGAAAGCAGCAGTGCCACAGCAGTAGTTCTGTGCTGCTGCTGCCAGCCTGGCCCAGAGCCAGCCCAGAGATGTAGACAGAAGCCTGTTAGTGCAGTTTCCCAAAACATCCCAGAGATGCCCACCACTCACATCCTAACCTTCTAACTCTCCTGAAGCCATATGGTTTCCACACCTTGTTACTCTTCTGCAAACAAGTTTGGTTGAGCATGGATCTGAAATACTACTTACCTGAGGCCATGTGGTGCTGGGAGAGTCTTGCTGAGAGCTTTTGTTGTTCAGATGAACTCCCAAGGGCGGCAAAAGTGTTCGATGAGGGATGGCATTACCTACAGAATTTACCTCCTGCCGTGCAGGATCCTCCGTGGTCTCTGGTGGAGTGAGGCCAACGTGGGAGTTCAGAGATGGCACTCTGCTCTTGCTCTGGTATTGCTTCTGCTGATCTTGCTGCTGCTGCTGCTGCAGTAAACTCTGTGGGTACAAGTGCCTGTACTGTTCATGGGGATCTTGGAAGCAATACTGAGGCACTGCTCCCAACTGGATAAGCTGCACAGGATGACTAGGATCCTGAGAGTACTGGTGTGGTTCATGCATAGTCTTTGGATCAGGTTCTCTGTGATATGGAGGAAGTGGCAATTGCATCTGCTGCTGCTGTTGCTGTAACTGCTGCATGACAGGCTGTGTTTGGTAATACTGAGCGATTTGCACTGGACACTGCCGCTGCTGCCGAGCTGGCTGCTGCTGCTGGATCTCCTGGATCGAGAGCCGCTGGTGTCCCTGCTGTGGCTGAGCGTAGTACTGAGGCTGCTGCAAGTGCTGCATCTGCTGTGGTAAGAGCTGCTGGGACTGCATTTGTGGAACGTGCGTCTGTCCCTGCTGAAATGCAGAATGCATCTGCATTTGTGATAAGTGCTGCTGGTAGTCGTAGTACAACTGTTGGTGCTGCATGACTTGCATTTGTTGCTTTTGCTGTGTGCTTGCAAAATTCTGTTGCGTTTGCTGTGGCACTGGTTGATATCTTTGTACAGTGGAAGTTACAGGCTGCTGCTCAACCGCTGGCTTCTGGGACAGCAGCTGCCTGAGTGCACTGTCACCAGAATTATCCACCATCGAAGACTCGGTGTGCAAAACCTGAGCCATGTTGTTGACTTGAATTCTAAGATTTTGGTTAGCAAATACTTGCGTAAAGGAGTCCAATTTATGCAGGACCCCACTGGTAATTTTTTGCGATCGATTTTCACTGGGTTGAGAGTAAGAATATTGGTATCCATCATGGGAGTCCCCCTGCCCGAGGGGGCTCCAGACTGCGCTTTGATTATTCAAATTGTTCCTTGCTGGGACATGGTTTCCTGAGCCAGAATGTGTCCAGCTGGTTTGTCTAGATGTATGCATTGAACCAAGGCTTTTTGAACCTACAGGCAAAGCTATACTGTCCCGTGAATCTTGGGGAAACTGAGGGGAGAGGGGGGATGCCTGGGGAGCATCCATAACAGACGTCCCATAGCTATGATTTAGAGATGGAAGGGAGTTCATTTGGTGTTGTTCGTAGTACAAGTTCTCATTGTTGTTGGCAGTATGGTTAGTTTTATACAATTGCTGGTCCCCCATTTTTGGTCACTTCTGTTCCAAACTTACAGGCACGCAAACCATGGAAATCTCTATGAACCCTGAGATAGCTGAGTGAGGGGAAGGGAGGGAGGGGAGAAGAAGCTAGAATTACTTATAATTCAGCATGTCCATGTGCATCACAAGGACTAAAATCTCCTCCAGTCTGTCAGTAATTCCAACCTCAGACTCGACGTTGCTTCACATCTTCAATAAGTGGACCACAGCACAAATCCTACACAGATCAGTAAGTTCAGTGTGCCAAGCACCTGTGGAGTAAGTGAAAGACAAGGTAAATGCTGACTCTGTGCATAAACTGTTATTATTATTGCCTCAGAGGAAACTCTAAAATCTTCTAATTTGAAATCCATAATCAGATGCAAAATTGTAACAGCTGGGCTATTTCAGAGCAGTTAGACAACTTCATCTCATCCCGTTATCCGGCCTCTTCTCTAGTGCTCCAATAAAATCATTCTGCCAAACCAATAAAAGCTTATTCTTCGAAACTGTCTTTTCCCCTAAATTATATGAACATTCAAGCATTGTAAGCTTGCCACATCCTGCACCCTCATGACTAATTTTAGTCAGACAGTTGACTATCAAGCCAAGTCACAGACTCACAGAACGGCTGGGGTTGGAAGGGACCTCTGTAGATCACTGGTTCAATGCCCTGCTAAAGCAGGTTCACCTGTGTGTATCTCCAGAGGAGGAGACTCCACAACCTCTCTGTGCGGCCCTTTACAGTGCTCTGACACCCTCCAAGTAAAGACGGATGTATCATAACTAAGATGGAATTTCCCGTGTTTCCGTTTGTGCCCGCTGTCCCTTGTCGCTGGCCACCACTGAAGAGTCTGGTTCCATCCTCTTGACACCTGCCCTTAAGAAATTTGTATGCATTGATAAGATCCCCTCTCTGTTTTCTCTTCTCCAGGCTAAACAGACTGGAGCTAAACAGCCTCTCCTCATAAGAGATGCTCCAATCCCCTAATCATCTTCATAGCCCTCTGCTGAACCCTCTCCAGCGGTCATCGTTTTTTAACTGAAGAGCCCAGATCTGCACACAGCACTTCATTTGAGACCTCACTAGGGCTGAGTAGAGGGGCAGAATCACCTCCCTTGACCTGCTGTCAATGCTCTTCCTAACACCCCCCAGGATACCATTGGCCTTCTTGTCCACAGGGGCACACTGCTGCCTTAGGGACAGCTTGTTGTCCACCAGGACCCCCCAGTCCTTCTCCACAGAGCTGCTTTCCATCAGGCTGGCCTCCAGCTGGTACCAGTACATAGGGTTATTCCTCCCCAGGTGCAGGACCTTGCTTTCACCGAACTTCATTAAGGTCCTTTCTTACCCAACTCTCTAGCCTGTCCAAGTCCTGCTGAATGGCAGCACAGGCTTCTGGCATATCAGACACTCCTCCCATTTTTGTATCATCATGTACATTCTGTCTCTTCATCCACGTCACTGATGAGCAAGCTGAACAAGACTGGACCTGGTACTGACCCCTGGGAACACCACTAGCAATAGGCCTCCAACCAGACTGCATCACTGACCACAGCTCTGGGATCAGCCATTCAGCCAGTCTTCTTTCTACCTCACTGTCCAAGCTTGCCTATGAGGATGTTATGAGAGACAGTGTCAAAAGCCTTGTTGAAGTCTGGGTAGGCAACGTCCACTGCTCTCCCCTCATCCATCCACAGCCAGACATTCCATCATAGGAGGCTATCAGACTGGTCAAGTGGTATTTCCCCTTGGTGAATCCATGTTGACTATTAATAATAATAGTAATAATATAATTAATAGTAATAATAACGATAATCTTCTTTTCCTCCACATCCCTAGAGATGACATCCAGGATAAGCTGTTTCATCATCTGTCCAGGGATAGATAGAAGTGAGGCTGACTGACCTGTAGTATATATGCTAAGACCAAACCAGTCAATGGAAATCTTTTCACTCCCCTGGGAGTGCTGAACTCCCAGCTTCTGTTCTACCCTCTCACATGCAACCTTTTATAATTTTTACTGTATAAACTGTAACTCAAAGTAACATTTTACAGATGTCTGTTTTCAATAAATAAAATACATTTTAACATAAGCATAAAAATATTAGACCAAAACCTTAACTCTGCCTCCCTCACATCTGATTTTCTAAATGTAATGCTCTCCACCAAAGACTCCTGCATACTGATGTCCTTACCTTTTTAAACTTAGGAGAATCCACGATTTACATGGATAAATGTGAAGTCACTGATGGAGAAAATTTTAACCACTGCCAGATGCATATTAAGGAGAGTTTGTGCTAGCAACAGCAAATAAGGGTAATGCATAGCTGTAGGCAGAGAAAAACCTTTTCCGTTCTAGCATAATGTATGACAGAAAACCATAGCTCCCAATGAAGAGGGCTTGTAATGTGTACAGTTTGTGTAAACCATCTGCAACCATTAGTATGTAACATTTTCACGAGACAAATAATAGCTGAGATTAACTGCACATTTATTTCCCCTTTCCAGAAATATACAGTGCTTCACAGTTTCTCTGAACACACTCCCTTCCAGATTTTTATAGATGAACAATTAAAGAAGATAGGAGTCAACAATGAATAGTCAGGCTGCCAACAGGATTTTTCATCCACAACACAACTTCAAAGACTTCCTATTAAAAATTATGAAGGGCAACTAAACAAACCTTCCACAAAACATTAAAAAGGCATAAAAATAAACACTGTGTGATATTTCATACGGAAAGGCCATCAACATTTAGAGGAAGAGGGGGAACATGCAACTCGTTTTATGCCTGCCAAGTTAAGAAAGCTCAATTGAGATGGTCTGAACACATCTTCTCATAAAAACTGGATCTCTAGGTAGTAGACCTTTTGTATAGGAGCTACGTCCCATTTTACCTCTTAACAGATCTGTAATTTACACCAAGTTCCTTGGTTTTGACCCTTCTTCTTGAAGTTACAAATATTAGTCAAAGGACAAGAAATAACAGTGATACAAACCAGTGAGGGAGAATAAATGTCTCCAGGAGACAATTAAAAGACTACAAGAATTCCAAGAGTAAGGACAGTAAGAGACTTATTCTTAAGGGAGCAAACAACAAGATTTTGTTTCAAAAATTAATCAAGTGGCCAACCAGACCCCTGGCCTGTTCTCTTCCCACAGGCAGGAGCGTCATGATGGCAGATGCTACTGACTGTACCAGCAGCCATAGGCAGTGTCGTAGTCACCACAGAAAATGCCATCCCTTGGGCACCCACCAAATTCCACTTACTGCACCCTTTCACCTGGGGGTTACCTGTCACAGTTCTTAGGATACTGGAAAGCAGTCAAGAAGTTTTATAACCTATTCATTAGCACAAACACCACCTCTCTTCCCCTCTCTCAGAATCAAAAAAAGAAAAAAAAATGCTCACAGAAATTTCCTCTCCAGCAGCTCTAGCATCCTCAACTCAATTGTGGTTTGGGAGTGGATTACAGTTATACATCACAGTTATACAGAAACATTTGTAAAAATCTGAAAAATAATATGGAATATTATATTAAAATACCAATCAAATCACAAAAGGACTGGGAAGTTTAGTCACTATGAGAACCACATTTGAAAAAATTTGCATTGTTTTCAAACACCCATTCTCCCCCTCCTAAAAAAAAAGGAAAAAAAAAAAGAAGAAAAAAAGATGAAAACATTCCTTTCAAATGCATCACTGATCTAGAAGGAGAAAATGCGAAGGTTTAAAAAGCATTGTTATTCTACATTCAGGTAATAGGAAAAAAACCATATAGGCATGTTAATAGAAGCATAATCAGTAATAAACCAGTCCCTTAGATACCAAATATTTTTTAGTTCTCGAACAGGCTTGATGCTGTATACAGCGAGAATCTGCTATCGGTTTTAACAGAATGCTAACAATATACATTTCTTCTTGGATACCCATGAGAGTATATGAGTGCTGCATACAATATCTTTAAGGCTTTAGGGCCACCAAAGTCTCTGGCCAACTGAGAAGCCATTGGCAGCACTCTGAGTGACTTCCATTTCTTTCAGCGACAGGAAGAAAAGGGTGCTTTTTGTTTAGCAGTGATGCCTAAACACCCATCACTGCCATTTATCACAACAAGTCTGTCTACTAAATAGTTAAATCAAACAACTAAAAGCAGCAGGAAGTTTACAGAAACAATGGTTCTGCAGTTCTATGTTTCTTCTCTTCCTAACAGTCATTTATGCTATTTAACCTACTACATTTCTGACATTACAGATACATCCCAATTATGCAATCATTACAAAGAAACATGAAAACAAATGCAAACGGACAGAAACATTTCTGTAGACTGCCCAGAAAGAGAAATACCCTACTTAAGTTTATGGATGAAATCTGGACTCAAGCTAATGGGAATTCAATTGATTTCAACAGAGATAAGGTTTTGCTCCAACTCTTTTCTCATCATTTCAGCAAGATCCCCTGCAACTTGTACAACTCCAGTCTCCAAACTAAAAGCCACGGATACACCAAGATGGCTGAAATGTCTTTACACACTCCAGCGTCAAACACAAGCATCTAAAAGGCAATACAATTACTCCTGGAAGTATGTAATAACTTCATTCTGGTAAACATGAAATGGAACAAAATTCCAAAATTATCAGTCTTCAATAAAGGTGATTCTATTTTTCTCCTTCGTAAACTATTCACTGGAGAGCCAGAAGCAGCTGTGGAGTTCCCAGCACAGGATGGACCTTAACTATTGGAGTGAGTCCAGAGAAGGTGATGACAGAGATGGAGCACCTCTCCTGTGAGGAAAGGCTAAGAGAACTAGGATTGTTCAGTCTAGAAAAGAGAGGGCTTTGGGGTGACATAATTGTGGCCTTCCAGTACTTGAAGAGAGCCTATGGAGAGAGACTATTTACAAGACCTTGTAGTGACAGCACAAGGGGAAATGATTTTAAACCGAGGGAAAGCAGGTTTACATTAGATATTAAGAAAAACTTCTTTGCTGTGAGGGTGGTGAGACACTGGAACAGGCTGCCCAGAGAAACTGTGGATGCCCTATTCCCAGAAGCGTTTAAGGCTCTGTTGGATGGAGCTCTGAGCAACCTGGTCTAGTGAAGGGTGTTCTATCCACAGCAGAGTAGTTGGAACTAGATGATCTTAAAGTGCCTTTCAACCCAGGCCATTCTATGAACTTACAGAAGACAATAGGCAGCGAAACATCAATAAGATGGTAGTTATAAAAGAAAACACTCCCAGTTCCATCACACACCACAGAAGCCAAAACCTGTAGAATTTTTCAAATTGAGTAAATAACAGATCAAACCACAGTCACGCAATTGAACTGCCTAAATTCACATGAATTTCAGAACAAGGCATCCACTCCAAATAAGTCGCTGCATGAAAGTTGGGGTGGGTGTGGGCTGCAAAACCAGCCAGAGCCAGTTTCAGAACTGAGTTAATGGCGAGGGATGACAAAAGACTGTACAAGAGCAGATGCTGAAGGAAGCAGACTCATTAAAAGGCTGTAAAGTTATTATAGCACTGCACTGATCTAACCAATCTCAGTAGGCTGCATGGCTGTGTTTCAAAAAGGAATTGGATCCTATGGTTTGTCCAATTTCAAGTTTTTCAGCTATTCCTTTAAGCAAAACATCTACGTGCTTTTATAGATTAATTACCAGTTAGCCTGAAAAAAAGAAGACTGGATAAGCTGGCAGATGCAAAAAAATCCAAAAGAAAACACCCCTCCATGTTCAACTAGCTTCTTCAGGACAGAGTACCTGTACATACTGACAAGCAACAGCATGAAGCAGATGCTCATGTGCTGGGGTACCAACTCCTCTTGCGTCCCTCCCGCCCTCTGGGATGGTAACACTTCAGCTAAAGCAAGCTTAACCACCAGTCTTAGCAGCCTAAACTGTGTTTTGTAACACTTAAGGCATGCTTGCTCCAGAAATGTGTCATTGCTGTGTGTTCTCCCAACACTGCAGACATGTTTCAAATCGTGCCTTACCACCTCTCAGTCACATAAGCTGAGACTTTCTCAAGTTGCTATCTTTCTGCTATTAGAATATATGCTTCATTCTTAACTGCAGATAAGATAAATTCAAAATCAAGTTGTCCCTTCCCTTCTTTTGCTTCAGTGTTCCCCTCCCATTAGCTTCAACAGAAACAAACCAGGGTTCATCTTATTCAATTTTCAGCCTTTTTTATGAGAATGTCTTTATTGACCTGTTTTGTTATTCAGAACTGTCAGATCTCCTGCCAAGCTATTCCTAAATGAAGACAGCCATCATTCACATCATCTTGCTCTCTGATTTCCTTTAGGATAGATGCAGGAATAAAAAGCAGTTCCTTCTCCTCTCCATTCTGCTAAACACCAGTGCTACCAGCAGCCTCTGTCACACAGGCTGACCACAACCCAGCCTTTTAAGGGACAGCACAGACAGTCGTGGTTTTCAGCTGGGCACTACACCACTATGAACCCACATTGAAGAGCAGCTTTAAAAACAGGGAGAGCACCATCTAAGAACACCTAAGCACTACCTAAGAATGGACACACCTGCATTGCTTAAACCCACCTCTCAGGTGTGAGGCTGGCACTACCCCTGTATCTTCAGATGAGAGTAGTGCTGGAAGGCTGAAAAGCATAGAACTGGGAGAGGAAGGGTGGCATATTTCAAAGACCCCCATGCTCTTGCACGCTGTTTAGTTATCAGGTTTGTCCTTATAACTTTTCATGTAGCCAGAGTTCAAGCCCCAGCTCTATTTCTTTTTTTTGGCATAGAAAATAAGCCTGTGAAAAAAAGCAGCACAGTGCTCAAACAGAATGAATAATTTCGAATGCCAAAGAAGGTGGTTGGGTGAACCAGCAGAGAGGAAAAGGGAAGGAGAGGTGAGATGATAACTCAAAGATCTACCTTTTTTTTTAAAAGTATCTACAGAAACCCCAAAGACATCTGATATAGCAATAAGGAGAAGCAGAGACTGAAAATAAGAGTCAAAAGGTATCAGGACCATGGCTATTTTAGTTAGAATAAACTAGTAGCAATATGGATTTCAAGGACCAATAATTTTCTATAGCTGTCTCAAGGACAAATGCTTACAGGGATGAAAACCTTTTCATCCAAATCCTGGATAAACTCTTCTATGGTTTCTACTGCATTTCAATTTCAGCTGGTTTTCGATGGCAGAGATCTCGAACCCATGCCCATATCTGTCTACAAACCCCAAGGTTAGCACTTTTAGGCAAAACCAGCACCAAAAAAACCCCTTCACTTCAGTATACAAGAAAGTACGCAAATAAAGGCATTACAAAAGTGAACACGACTGAAAAGAAGCAAAACATTTAGCAGATTGATTTTTATAGCAAGCATACTAAGAAAGCTATACATGCTTAAAATGGAAGGGAAAAACAGATTAGCTGCTTTTTAATATTAATGCTGGTAATTCTTCAACAGTTGCACAAATCCTTCAAAAATTATCATTCCCTTTGCAGCTGAGCTTCTTCTGCAGTGCAGTTGGAAAGGCTGTTGAGTCTCATGTGGCTGCTCATTTAAGCTGTTCCCATTTCCACTCTTAAGAGTGACTAGAATGTCCTAATTCAGTTTAATAAAGAACACATTGGACTTGGGGGAGGGGAGAACAACGATGGCATTGGGAGAGGAACCGAGCAATTTCTCTACTTCAATGAAGTTTAAAAAAAGGCAACAACAACAACAAAAAAAACCAACAGCAAAACCAACAGTTGATCATCTCAGGAAAGTCTCTAGAAAAGGGGGAGGAGAAAGGAAGACAAACAAGAAGAAACATTTTTCTCTCTTTTTGATCTAAGTTTTAAGTAGAAAATGCATTCTGAGGCAGTGGTAATTTAATGAAAACCTTTTTTTCCTCCAAACTAACAGAATTCTGGTTATTCAAGAAGAGGAGGCTGATTTCTAAATAAAGCCATTAACTGAATTTAGTTTAAGGGAGATACAATTTCATGAGTCCCAAAGAAACGAAGAACGTTGTTTCAACAAATCTGATTATCTTTGCTGTCAGTGAATTGGTGTTACAGTTTCAAGGTACTCTGAAGGCTTTGGAGAACTGCAACTGAAGCAGGTATCACATTACTTCATAAAAAATGGCACATGTAAAATTATGTGATCTCCTCACAATACTGATTAAAAATAAAAATAAAAGACAAGCCTTGGCTAAGGCCAGAAGGGGACTTGAATTGCATATTCCATGACTAACTGACTAAAAGCATACCGAAGACAGCACTAATTAAAGTGATAAACACAGTAGTTTATTTTTTTTAATATTCACCAATACATTACTGCATATTTGATCAAGGCTGAAGCTGTCTGTGAAACTTTATGTGAAATTTCTTCAGCCAGCCTGGGTTTACTGACTGATTAGATGACATAAATCATAGTCCCTTCTGCTCAGGGCAATACTCTCAAATGCTTCCTGGAAAAGAGACATGTCCTATTAGCAAAATTGCCCTCAACTTCATATTTTAGTTTCCTTCTATTACTGAACTGAGTGACTTGTTACTCCCCAGCAAGATCCTAGTTCTGCAGACATGAGAAGCCAAGGGTATGAAGATCTTAGGACAGAGAGGTTAGATCTTGTTCACTTATGGTATATGCCACATTACAATCTCTGGTCCCTGCTGTTGATATGTGGGAGGGAGAGCGATTTTCAAGCCTTTTCACTCAAACATCAATGCATCAGCTATTGCTGTTACCACAGCCAGGATAAGCACATACAATTTTAGTTCAAGGTGAGCATCCTTGTAACACACTTAACCGGTTTCTTCCTGACCTCTGCAGTGTTTAAGCTCTGTAGGGTGTAATGTGATTTCTTTTTTTCTGTAACTGTAAATGCTCTGAAACAGTCAAAGAACATATGCTAGGATTTACAAAAACAGGCAAGGAGGAAACATCCTGAGACAGATAAATAACTAAAAAAAACAAGCAGAAGTAGTAGTATGTGGAAAATGGCATATGTCTAAGCTCTCAGTGGGGAGGGAACAGCTATTTTGAGCCTGGTGTATCCCCTAAAAGAGTTTTCAGAAATGCAGCTGCAGGACTCTCTGAAAAGTCCATCCCTCTAAACTACAGCATGTTGGTATCTAGCAACGGAACCAGGTCAAATGGTTATGCAGAATTGACCACCATGGCCTCTGCTTTTATTTTTTTTCAAATTAAGGTAATGTCCTTTTGCTTGTATGAGACAACACAGCCAAAGTAGTCCTTTAAGAAAGATATAAATGTGTGTGTATCTCCTGTGTCATACATACTGTGAAATAATATTTTACAAGATACACAGCCAATACACAACTAATCATATTTGAGAAGCCCATCAATAAAGTCAGAGACTCAGAAGCCCAAATTCTGGAAAACAGTCAAAAAGCATTGAATCTATTAAACAAGCCAGCCTTAGAGAAACTGGACATATGCTGTGACATTACCTGATTTTTGAGCATTTGTGAGATTCTTGTATCTTCTTGTGCTCTCTTTGCCATAACATTTTATGCTGCTGTCATTCTGTGATCTCAGAGTGATGTATCTAAAAAAAGTAAAAGAATGCAAATTAGTTTTTCCCCACAGGTGACTATCTTCCGTCACCACCTTGGCCCAAAGCACGAGCAGACCTGGGGCCATGAGCTTCCTATTGTAACACAACAAAATACTAACTTCTACTCAAAAGAGTATCTCCAGGTTACTCTCTAAGTCACTATTGCAGAGGACATCCAGCAGCATGCAACTCCTTTAAAGAACCACCAAGAATCCCTTTCCCATACTGACAGTGAAAGACTGCTTCATTGTCAAATCTCTGGCATTGATACATCCACAGTCCTTCAAATTAAAGACTGAAATACAAGTAAATGAATCTTTACTTTTTACTCAGCTTGGCACCTAGTGCAAAATGAGGAATGGGCTTTGTTGATGCAATAAATAAAACATCTTGCCTCTACTGCAGACACCATAAAGATTTCACAGCATCCCAGGCTGCTTTGACAGAACCCAGTGGCTTCTCTTATGGAGAGGAGATTTGCTGGCCCAGAGTTTGCAACCTACATGATGAGTATCACACAAACAAGAGAAGATATAGAAATCAGGAAGGGAGGGATTAATGACAGTCAAAGATGTGGGAGATAACAATCAGGCTGTCACCCAGCGCAGAAGAGATATCTAGACAAGGCATCTTAAATTATTTAAATGAAAACAACATATTTGTTTTTCTAAATGCTGCTGCCTAGATGGCTTTTAGGAAAGGCCCTCAGCATCTGAGGGCATTAAGAAGGCTGGCTGACATCACTGTGAGGCCACTCTACATAACCTTAGAGAAGTCATGGAGATTGGGGGACATCCCAGAAGGCTGGAAGGTGGCTAATGTCACTCCCATCTACAAGGACGGCTTAAAGGAGGATCCGAAAAATTACAGGCCCATCAGCCATACTTCAGTCCTTAGGAAAGTTACAGAACGAATCCTGCAGGGGGTTATCACAAATCAAATGAAACATGTGACTGGGAAAAGCCAGCATGGATTCACCAAGGGCAAATTGTGCTTGAGAAACTTGATTGCCTTCTACAACAAAGCTGTTGATGTGGGGCAAACAGTAGACGCTGTCTACCTGGATTTCTCCAACACTTTTATATAGTTTCCCACAGCCTCCTTCTAGAGAAACTGCTGTGTTACAGTCTGGACAAGTGGTCCATGTGGTAAGCTGGAAACTGGCTCACAGGTGGCCCCAGAGAATGGTGGTAAATAGCTCCTTTTCCAAATGGCAACCTGGCACAAGTGAGGTCCCCCAGGGACCAACACTGAGCCCATCACTGTTTAATACCTTCGTAAGTGATCTGGAAGATGGCATAAGTGTACCCTGATAAAGTTTTCTGATGATACCAAGCTAAGCAGGGAAGCACACGCGCTGGAAGGGAGAGCCACCCTGCAGGAAGACCTGGGTAGGCTGGAAGAGTGGGCTAACAAGAACCTTACAGAGTACCACAAAAACATGCAAGGTCTTGTGGATTGTACCAGATGATCCTTGAGGTTCCTTCCAACCTGGTATTCTGCGATTCTGTAAAACAAGCCTGGAAGCTTAGGGTGCAATTCACAGCTCCATGATATCAATGGAAAACTCTTCATTCACACTGAGCCCTGATGGTTTTGGAAAATCATTCCAGGCTTAAGAAGAAAAATGTAGGAGTGATCACAGATAACCTCAGTGAGGTCCGTCAGCATTTACTTCCTCTCACCTTCATGCTAGATTCACTTGCTTAAATTATTCTTTTAAAATCTCTGATAGTAAGTCCCAAGCACTGTGACACTACTACATACAGCAAGAAGCTGCCCCCCAAGTCTAGCACAGAACAAGTGCCCTCCCTTAGTCAACCAGCAACACAAATCCAAGCAGTTCCCCTGTCCTGCCCAATGCCAGCCTCTGCTTTCCCCTTCACCTTGGCCCAAGCCCACAGAAAACAGACAGGTCCACCGCAAAATCCAGACACCAACCCATCAAAACAAGCACCATGAGAGACAGCAAAGTCCCTTACAAAGCCTGACCTGCCTAAAACATACTTCTTCAACAGAAAACCTGAGCTGATGGCAAATGCTGGTAGCATCGCCCAGGGATATATGGAGTTTCTTGGATCTAAGCAAGTTTTTGCTTAAAACATTATCACATTGAGCCCCAGTAACTAAAATCTGTGCACAGCCACATCCTGCTGCAAACATGAGCTGAAATGCTACAAACGTCCCCAAACACAAACCTGCTTGCATCCCACCAGCTTACAACTTTTCTAAGCAAATCCATGAATTTACCTCTTTGTCAAAATAAGACAAGTTTTAATAAATCCTCACATACACAGTGCCATACCTGACTTGGTTTTTATACTGGTAATTAACACCTCCAGGTCTGTAACAGGCATACTAAATGTTCTAGACAACAGACAAATGTGTACCATTTCTGTTTGTAACAGGAAATACTCAGACACACACAGAAAACCCGAGGTTAACACCAGTGGAGCCAAGCGACAAAATGTTGGGGGTTTTTTGTCCCAGTTTAACATAACTGTTTAGAACTTGCCAATATGTTTAAATTTAATCTTAAAAAAGTAACTGCTATATCCTGGGATGGGGCAACCCAGGATGTATGTACAGACTGGGGAATGAGATGCTGGAAAGCAGTGCCACAGAAAGGGACCTGGGGGTCCTGGCTGATGGCAAGTTGAATGTGAGTCAGCAGTGCCCCGGCAGCCAGGAGGGCCAACTGTGTCCTGGGGGGCATCAGGCAAAGCATCAGCAGCTGGTCGAGGGAGGGGATTGTCTTGCTCTGCTCTGCACTGGGGCAGCCTCACCTTGAATGTGTGAGTTTTGGGCACAGCAGTATAAGAAGGATATTAAGCTGTTAAGAGAGTGTCCAAAGGAGAGCAACGAAGATGGTGAAGAGCCTTGAGGGGAAGCCCTACGAGGAGCAGCTGAGGTCACTTGGTCTGTTCAGCCTGGAGGAGACTGAGAGGAGACCTCACTTACAACTTCCTTGTGAGGGGAAGAGGAGGGGCAGACACTGATCTCTTCTTTGTGGTGACCCGTGATAGAACCGATGCAACGTCCTGAGGTTGTGTCAGGGGGTTTAGACTGGATATTAGATATTCCCTGGAACCAGCTCCCCAGGGAAGTGGTCACAGCACCAAGCCTGCCAGAGTTCAATAAGCATTTGAATGATACCCTTGGGCACATGGTGTGATCCTTGGGGACAGTCCTGCACAGGGCCAGGAGTTGGACTTCATCATCCTTGTGGGTCCCTTCCAATTCAGAATATTCTGTGTTATTCTGTGTGATCATGAGCCATGAACAATTATCCATCTGCTCTGAACAACAAATGCTCGTATTAAGCCTAAAAATGCCAAAATATTCTGCAGACAAACCATCTCTGGTAGCTTCCTGCAAGAGGCCAGGCCGATGGATGCCAGGAAAAACAACAGGAATGCCCAGGAAAACCCTTTTCTGCCTTTCTTATTTGTTTTTGCTGCTTTTCCCACTATACTACCTTCATTATTAGAGCTACAATAACACCTATATGTAGGTGTACATAAATTATCAGATATGTGCAAAGCTCTCATACATAATATCACAGTTTAAAAATAAAACTTCGGGCATTTTGGAGGCAGAGGTAGTGAACTGATGGCTGATAAATACTGAAAACAGTCCCAACATAATTAATTCAGGACCAAACACTACAAAAGTACATAAAACTCACAAATGAGGTTTTAATTCTTTTCATTAAATTTTAATCAGCATCTCATTTTTTGAAGTTTAGATTAAAAAGCAATCTAATTTTATATTCCTTTGCCGTATTCTTCAGTTTTGCTTCCATCCCAGACGCTAGATTTTGCATACAAGCAAAGCAGAGTAAGGAAAAGCTGAGAAGTGAAGCCTACAGCAACATTTACAAATTAAGACCTAAGTCAGAGATCGGCTATCCCATACGCACAATATAAATTTTCAGTCCTCTCTCTTCATTAGGATTGATGACACTGCTGGAAAATAAGGAGCACATAATACCTTTTATGGGAAGGTAAAACACAGATGAATTAACAGAGAGAGAATGCAGCTAAATCAATTTCTCATCTCAAGATAGTAATGGAGGCAATTTCTTGAACTTTACTACGCTTGTAACATATTGATCAGCAGAGCTTCACACTGAAAGTTAAACCAGGTATTTTCCCAGGGATAAAATGGAGGATGGCAGTAGAACTAGGCAACACACCAAAGACAGGGATTTTCTTCAGTCATGTTACACTTCAGAAAAATCGAAGTTTCCACCCACTTGCACGTTACTGCAACACACAAGAAGAAGATTTCTAGATTAAGGCTGAATTAGTCCTGTATGAGCCTTAACAAAGCAAATTTAGTGATAGGGCAAGGGGGAATGGTTTCAAACTGAAAGAGAAAAGGTTTAGATTAGATACTAGGAAGAAATTCTTTACTGTGAGGGTAGTGAGGCACTGGAATGGGTTGCCCAGAGAAGCTGCGGATGCCTTACTCCTGAAAGTATTTAAGGCCAGGGTGGATGGAGCTCTGAGCAACCTGGTCTAGTGAAAGATGTCCCTTCCCATGGTAGGGGTTGGAACTAGATGATTTTAAGGTCCCTTCCAACCCAAACCATTCTATGATTCTGTGATTCTATGATTTACTTTCACAGTATGAACTTTTGTATCATTCGACATTAAGAACTTAACCGAAGTGTTAAATTGGGAACTCAGACTTCCTGTAGATCATCAGAGCATCCAAAATGGAATTCTGGGAAAATATCGAAAAAAAAGAAAAAAAGTAATTTGGGATTTCTCCTCTCCTTCCTAATGGTCGTGTGTCTAACCATTCACAAACACCAGCTCATAAACTTGCCATGAAATGAATAAACCTCAGCCTCTTCAAATCACTGAAATTCAAGTTTTCTTTACTGTATTTGTCATTTTTTCTATTACAAGAGTGACCAAGAGCATCTTGTTATCTAAATTGGTTGGTCATGATTAAACAGCATTTAACTATTTTTGGAGCAG